AGACATGGGCTGGATCAGTACCAGTGTGGGGCTGGATCTCAGACTGCAGAGGAGTGTGACATTCACAATACAGTAAGATCCGTTTTTCAGATATTTGGAACAGCAACTCCCAGTCCATCATTGCCAAAAATAGAGGTGGCATGAAGTCAAGTATTTTTGACAACCTAAAGCAATGTGCTCACTGGCCGGACTGCTCAACTCAATGTATTGTACCCATTTTTATTTTCTTGATATGTTTGATAGAATCTGCATTAAGTTCCCACTTTGTCATCTGTGTCCATAATGATTGCCACTGCTGTAGAAATCAATTCATTTACTGCCAACTGGTTAACAGTTAATGAGATAGCCTGCTTGAAAACAAATATAATGCGATTTTTAAAGTACATTTTAGAGGTGTTTTGCAGATTTCGATTAGGCTGCAAACATATTTAGATGCACTAAAAATGTACTCACTTATTTTAAATATATTTCAGACACATGCTGATAAACACAGATACTGTATAGTGATCACTGTGTGCCTAGAATATATTTAAATAGAAATGAATCCTTTTAAACATGTATTTTGGTCTATCTAAATTTTTTTCGTGCATAGGTGGAGGTCACTTTAGGGTGCTGAAATACATGTTCATGTGTTTCTGCCCTTCCAGAGGCAGGTCATTAACCACAGAGCATGTCCATGTGAGGTCATGCCGCAGATGTAACCACGCCCCCATGTGAGGACACGCCCACTGGTTGCCACGCCCCCGTGCTAGGACACACCCCCAGGTGAAAGGTTAAATTCCCCCTCTCTGCAGACTCACTGACTCATACCCACACGCCAGCACATTTTCACATCAGATCATTGTGGGATTTTTTTGATTGAACTTCTTCCTCCACAGAAAAGTATTGCAGTTTCCCTGCATTAATGTAAAGTTCAACACACCATGGCTGCTGAAATGAGATTACTGCTTGGAGACTGCCATTATACAGCATATATATATATATGAAGATTCAAATATTCCGATTATAAGCTTTTTACTCCTGGGTTAAAAATAAAATGTCCAGAACAAGTCAGAGTGTGATATTAACTCCATCCGTACCGACTGTGTTTGAGAACCTGCTTCAGCTCTCTGAGACTGCCCAACAGGTAAGGGATTCACCACATGGTCTTGAGCTACAGGTGTGACCCCGATCCAGCTGGCACCCGGGTTCGAGCATGCACCTCCCTATTCCCCAAAAGCCCACCCTTGCTTCTCCCTCATTCCTATCCCAGCTCTCCAGACACACCGTCAGTTTCTATTCCAATGAGCACAGCAGTTCCTGAGTGCTATCAAACCTGCTTGGTTTCCTGCCCTCTGCTCCCAGCCTGCTCTGCAGACACCCCTGTCCTGACCCCCATCTCTCCTACATAGATCCCTGAGCCCATTCCAGTGCCCGGCTCTGCCTGTCGGCTACTGCAGAGCTCCTGATGGTCTGCGAGCTGGACAAGTCAGGAGTGTCCGGCCAAGAGCTCCCTCTCCTGTCCCAGAGTGGCCATCAGCCGCCCACAGACAGGGGAAACCCCGAAGGACAAGACAGGAGTGTGGCGCCCCATCTCTGCCCGCTCTCCCCTTGCCCTTCTTCTGCTCTTCCTCACTTCAGACCAGCCAGCTTCGAGACCCCGACTCCTCTTCTTCCTTGTCTTCCTGCTGACCACGTGCGTGGCAGAGCTCAAGCTCAGCTGCCCTGGGCTCCAATTCTCTACACCCAAGCATTCTGATGAGGATTGCACCCAAGGATTCATTTGATGAGCACACGTGATGAAGACATGGAGGCATCTACATAAGCACCCAGATCCCCATACATAAAGAGCCAGATCCCCAGAGATAAAAACCCAGATCCCTGCAAATGTACACCCAGATCACTGCACATACAAACCCAGATCTCTACACATAAACATTCATATCCCTGCACATAAACACATAGATCCCTACACATAAACACCCAGATCCCTGCACATACATGTAAACGCCCAAATCCCTGCATACAGTACAAACACCCAGATTCCTGCACATAAACACATAGATCTCCTCTACTTAAATATATAGATCCTTGCAAATAAACATGGAGGTCCCTGTACACAAACACCCAGATCCCTGCTGTTTAATAAAGCAAGTTTAACTAATTCAAGATTTTCTTCAAGAGTTAGGTGGATTGAATTAACCAGATAACTGACTTCAGGCTTGCTCCAGTTTCACAAAAGCAAACTCTGTTTCAGTTGTGCAGGTAAAGCGAGTCAGGTTTAAACAATCTGACTCACTTTGCACAGCAAAGCTGAATTTAAGTAGACAGGAGGGTCAACCATCACATCCTACATCTGCCCCGGCAAAACCACAGTGAAACAATGTGTCTTAATCTGGTGACCATGAATTATGGCTCCTTCAGGAAAACTGTGAGGAGATAAAATCTGATGTAATAGCTAGGAGCTGTATCTTAGCCACTGCAAAAGCCAGAGAAGACGCCTGGGAAAAAGTCACAGATAAATTGAATGTGGAAGGTATGGAATCCAATATATCTATATTTCAATATGAGACAAAACGATAAAAATTGTGTGAGAAAAGATGTATTTCTATAAGTTAACCTCCATTCTTATGGCATTGAATAGGGTTCCTCTTTAAGCCATTGTGTAGTTGTACAATATTGTTTTATTCAGTAGTAATTTATGTATTTGCAGCAGCTGGACCACAGTCAGTGGATCTGACAACAGGTCAAGACAGAATACAAGAACATCCCTCACCGTGCTCTGTGGGTCTTCTTTAGAACTGCTGTACAACACCGCGCAGTGCAATCCTGCGGATGAACATGATCCCCAGTTTTAGACCACAAGAAGACGCATGAGGAGAGTGAGACTGGAGGAGGAGGAATCATCATAGTAAAGAATGTTCAGTTTTCCTTCACTGGATATTGTCTCTGTCTCACTCGAATGGTGTTGAGCCGTGACGTCTCTCTCAGCTCTGCACCCTGTTGATCGGTGTAGTGAGAGGAAGCTCATCACAGTGCACAGGTGGAGGGCAGGAGCTCTCTCCTTCCTGAAGGGGGTAGTGCTGTGCAGCACAGCACAGATGGCACTGATGTCACATGTCCTATCTAGGGACACTAGAGTTGTGTACACATACTGTACATGATGCTGATGTGACACCTTGTGCCATAGATCATTTGATAACAAAGGAAACTATTTGATAGTGAAAACTGTACGTTATGAACTTGTACTGTAAGTCTCGGTAAGACCCATTGTAGGCACGCACGTTTAAAAACTTCTTTTGATGGAAGTGATTGAGAGTTTTTATTCTTTTCTGCAATCAATGTTCATAATTCATAGGCTAGAATATTATTTTTCACCTGTACAGTGATGGTATGAATTGATTTTCTGTTAAGAAAATCAGTCTCGTTTGGCCCTTAGGGGACTTTAATGGTGATGGCTGTGAAGTCCAGAGCACCTATTATATTAGGAAAGGCTGCAAGAAATATTTAGATCATGGTGCATAGCTACAGAGAACAGTGGATAGAATTATATATGATAATATTACCAGGTATTTCAAGGAACCCCTGTTTGATGGTATTCACTAAAGTACTGTATGGTTAGGAAACGTTCTGAATACATGTACAACTGTTTTAGTGCAAACATGAACACAGTCACTTTACTGAAGCAGACTTAGGCGCCAGCACAGTAAAAGACTGCACTGGTCAGAAGGAATCTCAACCCTATGCACAGAGTTTGAGTTTCTCTTAACGTTGAGCTACAGTACGATGAGCTGTATTAACCATATATGGGCTTAACAGATCGTGAATGTAAGGTAATGAAATGGTATCTTTCAAGTAAAAATAAATCAGGAAACTTCAAAGGGTTTTGGTGATCTCTAAACTTCCACTCTCTCCATAAAGCTCTGACGTCAAGTAGATCTCTAAACATCAATTTATTTGCAGGGAACTGATTGATCAATGAGTCGGGCTCTTTGCAAATTCAGGCTAAGTATAAACTAACCTGCACAGAGCAGATTAGGAAGAGAGCATGCGTTGCTCTAGTTCCTTAACCAGATGCCATTCAATCTTGCTTTGTGAAACCTAAAATCCAGACTTGTATCAATTTACTCTGATCCACCCGTTTTACCCAGCTGAGCAATCTCACTTTGTGAAACAGCCCCAAACCCTCTACATGACACCCAGATCTCTACATATAAACACTCAGATCATCATACAAAATCACCCAAACTCCTGCACATAAACTCCCAGGTCGCTGTACACAAACGCCCAGATCCTTTCCTGTGTGACCTCCTGCAGCTCAGAACCAGTCAGGCGTGGCACGTAGTCTCCTCTCATCTAATTTCCCAACTGCCTACTCCTGGTAACAGCCTGAGCAGGGCAGACCCGGCAGGTGGCCTCCAGCTCCTCAGTGCTCTCAGGCCTACAGAGAGATGTAATCCCTCCAGTATATGCCCTGGGGTCCCTCCCCGAAGGGCTATGCTCGCTACACCTGCAACTGGAGGCGCCCTGGAACATGCTCACCAGAGGAGGGCCTCTCGATGCAGAGAGTCCCTGTGACCGCCTTGTAATCCCAGCCTGCCTTTGTCAGCAAGGGCTTTATCCAGTGAGTCAGGGCGAGAACCCCCAGCGATAACTTCCACTTGCCCAGTGGGGGCACTGTCCTGTCCTCACTCACCTGGGTCACGCTGATCCAGTAGCCGATGATCTTGTCCACGGCGTTGGGCTCCCTCTGCGTCCACTGCAGGTCGTAGGTGTAGTTGCGGCTGGTTCTCAGGGTGTAGATGGGGGTTGGGGTGTCGTAGTAGAACTCGGGGCTGTAAGCCCTGGCTGAGGAGACAGAGAGAGAGAGCACCTCCGTGAGGTCTGTGGGGGTACACTCCCGTCATCCTCTCACACTGGCCCCAAATATAAACTACTCTTAACCCTTACCTGGGCCCAGACGCTGTGGGCCCTGAAGCTAAGAATCTGGGCACAGTGTCAGAGACCTAGCACTCCCCCTGCTGGTGAAACTGGCCTGAACCCTGCAGTAGCCCATGGTGGATCAGCGGTCAAGATGTGTCAGGCTCTTACAGCTGGTGAGCCAACACATCTGGAAAGAGAGGGATCACTTCCTCTTCACAGTCCGGGCTATGTGAGAAGAGTGTTTCTGTCTGCTGTCTGGAAGTTTAACATTGCATCAAATGCACCGCACTGATTCCCAGAGGTCAGTGCAGGAATACAGATTAGATCTGCGGGCAGGAAGACTGAAATACCCACAGGAGGAACACAGCCTCTAGGAGTCAGGAGTGCGGGTCAGACTGTGCAGACTCCTGGCTGGCCTTGTCACCAGATCATTGTCCCAGCATGCCCTGCTGACTGGCACACAGCCCCCAAAGCCCTGCTGG